ATGCCACACCACACACCACACACAGACACACCACACCACACACATACCACACCACAACACACACATGCCACACCACACACACACAGACACACCACACACACACACACAGACACACCACACACAGACACACCACACCACACACACACCCACACACCACACACAGACACACCACACCACACACATACACACACCACACACAGGCCTCTTTTTAATGCTGAAGACCACAACTGAAGGGACTCCAAGGTTTAATACAGGTACTTTGCTGTGCTCATCACTTGCCAAAAAAATGATCCAGATCACTTGCACGCTGGCCCCTGTTTTGAACTATGGTTTGGGCCTGTCACTGGTCCCTGTGTTCTTGGGCACAGCTGGAGAGAAGTTAGGCTTTCCCAGCAGAGGGCAGTGGAGGGACACACAAGTCCTTGGTAAGGGACCCCCCCCACACACACACCTTCCTGTGGGCAGTTGATGTCTTTATCCTGCTCCCTGCAAGAAGCCCGGGAGCCTGTGAGTTTCCTTGCCCATAATCTCCGATTCACTGCCCTTGGGTTTAGCAGGTACTGCTGTGTGCTCTCCATAGAGATCCGGACGCTTGGGCGGTGAAATCTCTGTGGCGGGTCAGTACCCACTCCTGTATTCACCCCCTCTTCAGCATGTTCACTCATGGCTTCAGGCAGTGGCTGTGCCGACATTTGAACTTACTGAGTTCTTCAGAGGAAGGGTCTGGGAATTCCGGTAAAGGGTAAGTATTTTAAGATGAGCAGACAGGCCATAAGGTCTCTGTCATAGCTGTTCGATTCTGATTTTGGAGAAAAGGAATAAAGAAATCCTAAGACCACTTAAAAGAACATGTAAGGAGCCTTGTATTGAGAAAGAAAGAAAGAAAAAGAAAGAAAGAAAGAAAGAAAGAAAGAAAGAAAGAAAGAAAGAAAGAAAGAAAGAAAGAAAGAAAGAAAGAAAGAAAGAAAGAGAAAGGAAAGAAGGAAAGAGCAAAAGAAAGGAAAGAAGGAAAGAGAGAGAAAGAAGGAAAGAGAAAGAAAAGAAGAAAGAAAGAAAGAAAGAGAGAGAGAAAGAAAGAAAGAAAGAGAGAAAGGAAGGAAGGAAAGAGAGAGAGAAAGAAAGAAGGAAAGAGAAAGAACGAAAGAAAAGAAAAAAGAAAAGAAAAGAAAAAAGAAAGTCAGACCCTGGGCAAGAATACATCATCAATCTGCTTGCTGCCTGGTTTTAGCAGCCGGAAACCAGAAGGTGGCAGCAGAGAGCTGTGATACTGCTGGAGACTGCTCCAGAAAAAAGCCAGCTGAAAAGAAGGCAGAGATAGGAAGGCCTGGAGGGGACTGGAGCACCACAAGGAGAGCAGCAGAGCCAGACAGTCTGCGCCCAGGGGTCTTTTCTGAGACTGATACTCCAACCAAGGACCGTGCATGGAGATCACCTAGAACCCCAGGCACAGATGTAGCCCATGGCAGATCAGTGTCCAAGAGGGTTACATAGTAATGGGAAGAGGGACTGCCTCTGACCTAAATTGATTGGCCTGCTCCTTGATCACCTCCACCCGAGGGGGAGCAGCCTTACCAGGTCACTGAAGAAGACAATGCAGCCAGATATGATGAGACCTGATAGGCAAGGGTCAGATGGAAGGGGAGGAGGACTGTCCTTATCAGTGGACTTGGGGAGGGGCATGTGAGGAGATGAAGGAGGGAGTGCAGGGCAGGATTGGGAGGGATCGAGGGAGGGGAATACAAAGTGAATAAATTGTAATAAATTAAAAAAATAAACAAATTGGAAAAAAAAAAAGAATGGGATGATTGGTATGCTGTTTGTCTGGAAATCCACATCCAAGCAGAAACAGAGACAAAATACTCGGCATAAACAAAGCTCAGCTTAGAGTCGGAAGTCAGCCTCCACCTACTGAATAATGACGGCTAAGCACTAAGAAGAAAGTCTGAGAACTCATGTAAGGTTTGAAATCGTTTTGAGATTTGTATAAAAACAAAACACAGCAATACCAGACAAGGCCTCTGGCTGAGCTGGGTTAGGATGCATCATGGTGGACTTGACCTCAATATGAAGTCTAGTGATGGCCCAAACTAGCTCCACATTAATATAATATTGGGAATGCCTTTATCCTTCATCAGTCTCAGGTTTTCAGGTCTCCACTGAATATAGTGATAATGATATTGAACCTCTGTGTGGACAATGTGTGATACTGTACACAGAACATCTAAGTTGGAGCCTGGTAAATGTGATATTCTAAAAAGAACTTAACCCAGCACACATTCAACTCTTGACTCTGTTTGCTTACAAGTGGGATGAGTGTGTAGAAAGTAAATAACACATTGTAACCAATGCTAACCGCTTGTTGAAACAGATGAAAGACTGTTTCATTTGGGTAATGTAAGACATCTCTTTCTTCCCACTGTAATTTTACAGAAAAGAGGAATCCAGATTTCACACACGTGAAGAATTAATATTTGATGAAGACACTGTAACATTATAACAGTTGACATGATATGTAAGATGCTGAGTACACAAAGCAGATACACTGGAGGGAGAGATTGACTGGCACAGAGGCAGAACCAAAAGAGCAGGTTGCACAAGGTTTCACATGTCACTCAAATCGTATTATTCAAACCCTGAGCGTTTTTTTTTTTTTTCTAGATTTTTCTATTTAAAAATCAGCTTTGGCTAGCTGTAAGTTACTGAAAATTTGGGAAAACAAAATTAGAGATAGGAATGTACTGCAGCCATGGAATGGAGGGCCAAGGATAGTCTCTAGAGTTTGAGAATGGTTGAAATAGTGGAGAGATTACTTAGGGGAAACCATGGTCCTCTAAAGATAAAGCTAAGTGCTGGGTTACTGTGATACAGCATTCCAAGGAGCAATTCTCCTTTTTTCTTGTACTTAAACTGACCTCCTCATATGGTTATTTTTAAAATTTGAGCTCGGATTAGAAGGTTTTGTTCGCCAAAGTGTAGGCGCAGTGTCGCAGCAACTCCAAGCCCTGAATCAGTTGTTCTTTCCATATTCCATAGTTATCCCCCAAATGAATGTGTCCATAACAGTTTCACGGTAGCAGGAGCATTAAAACAATCAAATCACCATACATAGATAGCTTGTGGTAGCTGCTTGTCTTGCTGTTGCTGTAGAGCAGCTGGCATAGTAACCTGTGGACAGAGGGTTTGGGACTCGGAGTTCAAGGGCACAGTCCCTCCACCATGGCAGGATGTCCTGGCCAGGAACAAGAGGCAGCCATTTGCGCTGGTCCCAGTCAAGAAGCGGAAAGCAGTGAAGGGGCGCCCCGTTGCCTGTCTCCCTTTCCTTCAGTTCCACACCCCAGCCCGTGGAATCTGTTCAGGCTTTACTTAATCTAATCTAAAACATTCTTCACAGACATGCCAGAGTTGTGTTCCCCCAGTGACTGTGAAACCAACAGTGTTGACGAGATGAACCACACATAAAGGAGCTTTGCAGATATGGTCTTCTTTCCACCTCCTTCCTTCCTTCGAGAGTGCCTGCTTAGCTCACTGCTAATCTAATCCAGAGGGAGAAACTTGATCCATCCATGTTTCACCACAATTGCATTTATTTCAGAATAAGAACAGCAGAATCCTTCGGCTCCGAATCCTTCAGAGGAAAGGCTGAGAAGAATTTAACATCTCGTGGCCGCTTTTAAAATTTTTGGTGCAGTGTCACATTTTTTGAGACAAGTTTGGATGCTTGTATTTATTCGTTCACCACTGGGGCTGAAGGCGTCCTACCTACTTCCTGTCCTGTGTTGCAGCTTGTGAATCTTACCCTGGGCTCTGGGAAAGCATTTCTTTCCTGAACATGTTACTTATGGATACTGAAGTTTGGAAAAAGGGGGAGAGAGCATCTGATAGAGTTGGAAGTTTCTGGCAGTTGTTTGTTATCTGTGATTATCTAAGAGTTACTGCCTAAAACATACCTGACATTTTACTGATACATTAACTTAAGAGAGTGTTATTCAGAAATTCTACCATTTCCCTTAAATAGCCCACAAGCAACATGATTGTAATTATCTTCTGGATAGCAGAAATTCTGGGTTAATTTCAGCACATGCCCACAAATATTAGAATACACCCACAAAAAAATGTTGGGGAACATAATTTAGTGATAGAGTGTTTCCCAGCATGATCAAGGACTCAGATCCAGTCACCAAGGACCACCCCCAGGATGCAGTGCAGACGTTGTTTGTCAGTCAAGGGAAAGACAATATGTCACAGAAGCATCTCTTCATGTTTTCTCCAGGTGAGGAGCAAATGGCAGGTGGTGTCCACTAATTGGTTAGTGCCCAAACAGGAGTGATTTGTGGCGTGTGAGCATTTGGTTCTGTAGCCCTGTGGAGGAGAAGGTCCCTCACACTAAACTGCAAGCTTGGTGATGTGTACCTGAGAAAGCTCAAGCACGTCCCACATCCCTGGGTCCAGGAGTTTACGCTGGTCATAGCAGAAGGTACGTAAAAAGTTTATCCACTAACTGCGCTGAGCCCTCGTCCTTCGAAAAGAAATGAATTTCTTCTTGCATGTTAGGTGTGGCTTAAGGGTAAGAGTATTAACAGGGCTTAGCATTGCTCTGCTTGGTAGACACTTGCCCAGCTCGTATGAGACCCCGGGTTTGACTTTGAGCACTATCCCATGCCTACATACACGTCAAAATCATATGGTTGAATGTTTTTTTTCTATCCCTTTTTCTTCTCTGGTGCATATTGTATAAGGATATGAACTCAGGTCCTTATTGAGGGAAAATAGAACTATGAGGAAAGATTAACGCAAGAAAAGTCAGGTTAATCCTTCCTTTTGCATGGTTAAGAGATGGTAACAGTACCTGACCTTGAATTTTCTTCTCACTTCTGATATTTGATCTTCCATAGCGTCTGTTTTGTCCCTAGCTGCTTGGTAAAGAGCCCCAATTTTATAAGCCTTCTTGTAGAGCTGTTTGAGGTAAGAATGATTTTGGGCCTTCATTTGCACTAATGCTTCGATTTCTCCCTCACACTCCGTTTTTCTCTGTATACTATAAAAAAAAGAAGCAAAAATTAATGAGTTATTCTAAGACAACATTTACTGGACAAATAAGTAAGACCATACTCCGTGTTGCCAACATTTTAGAAAGGGGCAAGTAATTAACTTAAATCTGAATATATAACCTGTATCTAAGATATTTGTGTACATCCTTTTGGTTAGTCCTAATCTAGGCAATGTCCAGTCTTAGAGGCATAGAAGGGAAGAAGAGGGAAAAAAGAGAAAAGAAAAGGAGAAGAAAGGAAAAAAGAAAAAAAAAAAGAAAGAGTCCATTTTGTGTTGCCCATATAATTACTGGAGCATGGTCCCACTGTCTGCCCGCCCAAGGGAGGATGAGTCTTTCTTCTGCATCAACTGAGGAGAGTGCTGTGGTGGCCCGTGAGGGGCGAAGCCAGCTCTCCTGCTCCCAAGGATACTAACATGGATTCAGGCAGCAGCTCAGACCGTGACCATCTGCACCGACTTCAGTGGCAACAGCAGTTGCAGACATCTACACAGCTCTCAGCCTTCTCAGGACCACAAACTCACTTATCGCCCTCAGCAGCTGCAGGGCCACAGGCCTCAATATGGCCTCCGGTAGCCACACAGGCCAGTCACATCAGGACAGCCCAACTCTCTCCCCCGCCCCCCAAAGCAGCAAAGCCTAAGGACATCACCAAAGCATCAAGTAGTGGCACCGACCACATACATCTACATAGATCTCAGGCTTCACCAGGGCCTAGGATGGCAATGTGGACCACAGACATCGATATGGCCTCTAAGACCAGATGGTCCTTTGAGAAGAGCCAATCCAGAAAGTGAAACTTTCCTCATCTCTGGCCTCCATTACTGCTCAGTGTTAGGGGGATCCCAAGCCGGGCAGCAGGTTCAGGGGCTGAGTCTACATCTGAATAAGCTCCAGGATGTCGAACACCACCCTGATGACCCTACAGGGCAATTACAGAATGTGGACCTCAGCCCTCTGTCATATCTGTCACTTGTAATTATCACGGCTCAAGTTCTGCCTCTCTCCATACTGTATGCATCGCTCTGTTTTATTCTGTCTTTCCCACTTCTTTACCACATATTTGTTCATTGTAGTGGTGCTTGGGTGTCTTTTGTTTATCACCTTTTTGTTTCACACAGTGTTGATTTTACCAGAGATTGCTTTAAATGTAAGAGTAAAACCATGGGTTTCCAGACCCTCACCACTATTGGCTTTTCACAATAGTGTACTGACTGGTTCTGTGGCAACATGATAAAAACTAGAGTCATCAGAGAGAAAGAAGCTTCAGTTAAGGAAATGGCTCCATGAGATCCAGCTGTAAGGCATTTTCTAAATTAGTGATCAATGAGAGAGGGCCCAGGCGATTGTGGGTGGTGCCCTCCCCTGGCTGGTTGGTCCTGGGTTCTGTTAGAAAGCAGGCTGAGCAAACCATATGAAACAAGCCAGCAAGCAGGACTCCTTCATGGCCTCTGCATCGGCTCTTGCCTTTAGGTTCCTGTCCTGCTTGAGTTCCTGTTGTGACTTTTGGTGATGAACAGCAATGTAGAGAGGTGAAGGCTTAATAAACTGTTTCTCTCCCAACTTGCTTTTTGGTCATGGCGTTTGGTTGCAGCAATAGAAACTCTAACTAAGACAAGTACCGTCTCAGTTTGACAACCAGGTATCTTTAGACATTGCTAAGTGTCTCCTGGGTAGGATGCAACCTCTTGCCAGCTGAAAACTATATAACCACTGAGAAAGTCAGTGTTTCTCAGACCTAGCAGTGCACAGCCATCTCATGAAAGGCTTTCAACATGACTCTGTGCTTTAGAAAATCCTGCCGTAGCCTGACTTGGGGTAAAGCTCCAGCATGACTGTTTTCAAACACCTCGGGTGATGATACAAAAGTATAGTGAGTAAGAAAACCCAAAATTGATTGGAAAAGTCTTTCTCATCATATGGTGAGCTTATTGAGTCACAGACTACCGCACCCTGCTTTCTGGACAGGAGGAGGAGGGGGTGTGGGATAGATATCAGATGACCCCCCCCCAAGGTGGTGCTGATAAAAACGGGTTGTAGAATATTGTTCAAGAAGCTTTGCTCAAAACAGCAAGCACCAGGACATGCGGAAGTGTGAATGAATGTGGCCAACTCATAGGCGGGAAAACAAGGTGTAAATACAACTGGTGATGACTTGTACTTCCTTGTTTTTCTAGCCTCTTGTTCACACAAGAATAAACATGTGTGAACAAGAATATGCATACATTCAAGATGTGCCAAAGACGGTGTGGCTCACAAGTCAGACAAAAAAAAAAATGGTAAGAAAAAAAAAAAAAGCAGGAATCGGGGGCAATCATCAGAAAAATGCCTGAATTATTCCATCAGAGAGCAATAGGGAAGATTTCATCTTATAATGAAATACCTGCTGTGAGCTGTGCTTGCTGGGAAAAGACCAAGTCACTGACTTGCTATTTCCTATAGCAGAGAAGGCATTGATAAAAAACAGATATTGACAGCAAAACTCAACCTGACTTCTGTTTCAGTTGCTACATTAATTTTGTCCCTAATATCATCTTAGTGTCTTTGTTGTGACTCAGAAGAGCATTGTAAATGGAGAGTTCAAGACTGCTAGACTGAATCAGGTGGGACCAAGTAGAGAAAAAGGGATGGGGATAAAAGCGTGGCAGTATGAAATAGACGAGAGAAAGTGGAAAGAGCTATGTGTAGAGCTGCAAGTGCTGGGGAGACGGCTCAGTTTGTAAACTATTTGGTGAGCAAACATGAGTACAGGACTTTGATCTCCAGAACCCACCTAGCACTGGAAAGGCTCAGACAGAGGAAAATGTGGAGTTCACTGGCCGTCAGTCAGTCACTGGCTGAACTGGTAACTCAAGGCCAGTGAGAGATTCTGCTTCAAATAAAGGTGGAGGGTACTTGAGGGATGACACTTCCAAATGCACCTGAATATACACGTGCACTGGCAAACACACAGATACATACGTGAATGTACACATGGAAAAAATGGAGGAAGGTATGAAAAATATTGAAAAAAAGTAAGGAGATATGAAACATGCATTTTAAAACTATTTCTTAGCACACACTTTTAATTGCAGCCCTGGCAGGCTGGGGCAGGATAATAGGATTATGGAGAGTCTTTGATACACATTGGGACTCTGTCTCAGAAGCTGAAAGTGGGTTCTGAACAGGAAGTAATGGGTTGATACTGAGGACAGATGCAGCCATTGGTCTTGAATAGGAATTTCTATTTGTGAGTGAATGATGGAAAGGAAAGCTGTTTACAGATACTGTTACTATAAATAAATTTAACATGAGCCTTGTCGTTGCCATCATTCTCCTTCATATATGAGTAGGCTACAGTATAAATTTAAAATGTTTGTTTCTGTGTAGACCTTGTGTGAGATTTGCTGTAATTGTGTAAATCTGAAGACTTGTGATCAACTATCTCCAGTTATTTATGACTATTCTCTCTCTCTCAGTGTGTGTGTGTGTGTGTGTGTGTGTGTCTTTCTATCTCTCCTGTTTCCTGAGAATCTTTCTTTGTTCTATGTTTTGTCTTTGCCCCTCTGGCTGCATTCTGAATTCTGCTTCAGGTTCTGAGGCATCATGATTGTTGGATCTGCTGTTTTTGGAGCAGAATCTTGAGTAGCCATGAGTCTACTTTCTATTTTACACATTTTGCAGTACTGTTTATCAAGCTCGTCTAGATTTTTTATTATTTTTTTCTTTATTCTGTTCCTGTTACCATTTTAAACTCACTTGAGATGTGTCTAGTATTTTCATTATCTAATTTATATAATTATAGGATTATTAGAGTATCTTCTCAAATTATATAATCATTCTATTCTTTCAACTTATTGTGGGTTAAGTAGATTGCTATCAAACTTTCATTCATGCTGGATATTTCCTGATGTGTTTTATAATTACATGAGCCCATTTTTAAACACTTTCCTTTATGGGAATCTCTTCGGAGATTCTCTTTGGAGATATATGCTTCATTAAGTAAAAATAACACTTTCTAAAGCCATATCTCAGAAACATCATCAAACAATGGAATTACTCCTCTTTCTATCTTAAAATTTTTATCCACAGAATGTCACATAATATAACGAATTGAAAAATTTCTACTTAGAATATTATCCAGTTTAGAAAATTGCTCAACACATATTGAATGCATGTTCACAGGCCAGCCCTGGTGGTGCACACCTTTAATCCCAGAACTCTGGAGACGAAGGTAGTTAGATCTCTGACCATTCTGGTCTACTGAGAGTTTCAGGGCAGCCAGGCCTACACAAAGACATCTTGCCTTGAAAAACAAACAAACAAACAAACAAAAACAAACAAACAAACAAAGCATGTTCTCAATGCATCTGGCACTGAGTTGGTTAAAATAGTTAAACAACTTCAGTGTCTTCCTAGAAAGGGGAACATGATAGACAATCACACAAATGAATTTTAAAAGCGACATGTGTCTGTAGGGGTGTATGAGTGTACACACTGTGTAGCTGGTGAGGGGACTGCCAGAGAGAAGTCAGGTGGGAAGTGATGGCGTAAACAGGAGGCAGTGGGACTCATGCAGCCTCCCTTGCACCCTCTATGTTGCTTATCTCCTTTGGGTCTGTGCTGCATATTATGCTTACCCAATAGTGTATGGCGAAAATTCACACTTAAGTGAGCACATACCACTTTCTGCTTCTGGGTTACCTCACTCAGGATGATCTTTTCTATCTTTTCTAGTTACATGCATTTGCCTGCAGATTTCACGATTTCCTTGTTTTTGATAGCCTAGTAGTACTCCTAAGTAAAAGTGCCACAGTTCTTTTATCCATTGAACTAGGTTGTTTCCAGTTTCTGGCTGTTATGAATAGAGCTGCTGTGAACATAGCAGAGTAAACAACCTTGTTGTATGGTGGAGCCTCTTTTGGGATATACCCAGGAGTGGTATAGCTGGGTCTTGAGACAAGGGTATTCTCAGATTTCTGAGAAAGCTACAGATTGATTTCCAAAGTGGTTGTACAAGTTTACATCACCCCCAGCAAGGGAGGAGGCATAAATCTCACTCAGAAAGGGAGACAGAATAGACAGAAGTAGTGGTTGAAGAGAAGGAACAAGGGAGGAGAGGGGATATAGAGAGTTAAGAGAGTGGAGATCAGACCTGGGGAGAGAGAGGGAGAGAGAACAGAAGGCCTTTGATGAAAAGAGAAACTAAGGGTGGGGTATCTCTGTGAGAAGCTGGATATCTAACTCAGGGTATGCTTCTAGAAAGATATGAGGGGACTCAAGCAGAGACTCCTATTAGCAGAGGCCATAGAGACTGAAGAGGACACACTGTAACCAAACTAGTCTGCTAGTAGAGGGAGGGGAACACCAACACACATACAAAACTTTGACCCCAAATTCACATTGCCTTCAAGATGTGCAGAGAAAAAGAACAGAGCAGTTAGAGCAGAGACTGAGGGAATATCCAACCAATGTTTGACCCAACCAAATACCCACACTATGGGAGAATCCCAACCTCTGACACTGTGAATGATATTCTGCTAAACTTCCAAATAGGAGCTTGTCAGAGAGGTACTCCGAGAGACTCTGCCCAGCAGGGCCTCAAAACAGATGCTGAAACTCACAGCCAAACATATGGTGATGGGTAGGGAGTTTTGCGGAAAAGTGGGAGGAAAGAGGAAAGGGCCTGGAGCTCTACAGGAAGACCAACAGAGCCAATCAACCAGGTCCCAGAGGTGCCTGCTGAGACTGAAGATCAACCAAGGTTTATGCAGGAACTGCATCCAGGCCCCCTACGAAGATGTAGCAGAAGGGCAGCTTAGGGTTCACGTGGATCCTCTAGTAAGAAAAGAGGGCACTGCATTAGACACAGACTCACTTGCTAGCTTTTTAATCACTTCCCCTTGGTTGGTTTGCCTTGCCAGGCCACAGGGAAAGAGGACATGCTCAGTCCTGAAGCAACTTGATGAGCTGGGGTGGATGGGAAAAGGAATAGTCAAGAGTGGAGCGTAGAGAGAGGGAATGGGGGTAAGACTGGGAGGGGAAGAGGAATGGGGCTACAACCAGGATGTAAAGTGAATAAAAAAATAAATTAAAAAAGTAAGTCTCTTAACAAAGGAAAAAAAGAGAGAGAAAGCAGTGGGATAAAGGTAATTTAATGTAAAGGCAGAATGGAGAACAACATCTAGGGAGGAAGGGAGTCAAGTGACAGGAAGCAGGGGAGGGGTGTAGAAGACAGCCAGGAAGAGGTCATATTGGAATAAATTATGCTTCACATGCATGCAAGTACCTTGATAAAACCATTACTTTGTCTGCTAATGTAAATTTCACAAACTCTCTGTAATCGCCATCGCCAATGACTAAGATAACCTGCATCTTTGCAGTTTTTACTAACAATATCCTGTGAGTGTTCCGTAGTCATTAGCCAGTAGAAAAGCATTGTTTCTGTAGTAACTTTTTCCCTTGAGGCTTCATTTTTCTTTATTTTGGCTTTATTTTGGTGTTAATTTCCTATTTTAAGCAGACATTGATTATTCAAACTAAATTTTTGTTTGCAATAATGGCTGGGGTAAAGATTTATCTTTTTTTTTTTTTTTTGAGTTTTCGACAGGGTTTCTCTGGGTAGCCTTGGCTCTTCTGCTTTGTAGACTAGGCTGGCCTCAAACTCACAGAGGTCTGCCTCTGCCTCTGCCTCTGAGTGCTGAGTGCTGGGATTACATGGGTGCGCTACCATGCCTGGCAAGATTTTATTTATTTTTAATTGAAAGCTACTAAGAAGCTATCCATTCTCTGCTACACTAAAGTGTCACTTCTGTCATGAGTCATATGGTGTTTGGGTATGATGCTGAACCTTCACTGCTACTGACCAACCTGACATTATCAATAAAAACTCACCTTAGCAACTAAAATTTATAACAGCAATGCTACTGTAATTCCATAAAATTGGCTTTCCTAGGATCTTCACCAACCCTACATCTGACAGAGGGCTAATATCCAGTATATATAAAGAACTCAAGAAGTTAAAAAGCAACACATCAAGTAATCCAATTAAAAAATGGGGAACAGAGCTAAAGAGAGAACTCTCTGTAGAGGATTGTAGAATGGCAGAAAAACACTTAACGAAATGCTCAACGTCCTTAGCCATCAGGGAGATACAAATCAAAATGACCCTGAGATTTCACCTTACACCCATCAGAATGGATAAGATCAAAACTTCAAGTGACATCACATGCTGGAGAGGTTGGGGAGAAAGGGGAACTCTCCTCCATTGCTGGTGGGAATGTAAACTTGTACAACTACTTTGGAAATCAATCTGGCACTTTCTCAGACAATTGGGAATAAGGCTTCCTCAAGACCCAGCTGTACCACTCCTAGGCATATATCCAAAATATGCTCAAGTACACAACAAGGACCATTTGTTCAATGATGTTTATAGCAGCTTTATTCGTAATAGCCACAATCTGAAAACAACCCAGATGTCCCTCAACAGAGGAATGGATACAGAAATTGTGGTACATTCACACAAGGGAATACTACTCAGCAATTAAAAACAAGGAAATCATGAAATTTGCAGGCAAATGGTAGGATCTAGAAAAGATCATTCTGAGTGAGGTATCCCAGAAGCAGAAAGACACACATGGTATATACTCACTTATAAGTGGATAATAGATCTATAAGATAACACAGCATATAAATACTAAAATCTGTACACCTAAAGAAGCTAAACAAGAAGGAGGATCCAGGGTAAGAATATCAATCTTTACTTAGAAAGACAAATAGGATGGACATTAGATGTAGGAGAAAATGAGAAGCAGGATAGGAGCCTACCATAGAGGGCCTCTGAAAGACTCTACATAGCAGTGCAGATGCTGACACTTGTAACAAAACTTTGGGCAGAGTGCAGGGAATCATATGAAAGAAGAGAGAGTTAGTAAGATCTGAGAGAACAGGAGCTCCACAAGGACCAAATATATCTGGGCACAGGGGCTTGTCTGAGACTGATTCTCCAACCAGGGACCATGCATGGTTATAACTTAGAACCCCTGCTTGCATGAAGCCCATGGCAGCTCAGTATCCAAGTGGCTTCCCTAGTAAGGGGAGCAGGGACTGTCTCTGGCATGAACTCTATGGCTAGCTCCTTGACCTTCCCAATCCCCCTCCCCCCGTGTGGGAGGAGCACCCTAGCTAGGCCACAGAGGAGGACATTGCAGCCAGTCCTGGTGAGACCTGATAAGCTACGGTCAGATAGAAGGGGAGGAGGACCTTCCCTATAAGTGGACTTAGAGAGGGGCAGGGAGGAGATGAGGGAGGGAGGGTGGGATTGGGAGGGAATGAGAGAGGGGGCTGCAGCTGGGACACAAAGTAAATAAACTGTAATTAACATTAAAAAAATATAAGAAAGATTGGTTTTCCTATATCATTCTCTTGAATATTTTATTGCTTTTTAAGATTAAATTTCTAAAGTCAATTTTAACTGATCTGTGTATATTTCAATTATTTCTATTTTAATTTAGCTAATAAGATGGACTCTAGTAGGCACACAATCAATTTTGAGGGCTTTACAGTCATTTTATGATTTCCTTGGCCAATTTCAACTAACAATCATTTTGTTATACTGTAAAATAACACTACTTTTGTAATTTAGTTATACCATTAATAAAATATCCTAATAATTTAGTTAGAATGCCATCATTTTAGGTTGTAATGATATTTGGAAATTTGCATACTGTTATTGGGCCGTGATTAAAAAGTTGATACTGTTTAACTTCTTCCTTTTAACAATAGTTGATTTCTTTGTAGAGACTGCCTACTTCCTGTTCATAGTGTAACATTTATTTGGATTTTATTTGCATTTCCTAAATAATGATACTTCAATCGAATTTATCTTTAAATATCAGAGTCATCACCAACCAAGATGTATATATTTAAAGGATGCCAAAAATAATTTTGTTTGTTGATTCTGCCCTATCATGTTTTGATGAAAATTTATAGTATCTGTGAGTACGTTTTAATTTACCCCACAAAATCACATATCCTGAAAATTCAGAATTTCAAGAGAGATGAAATCATAAATATGAAGATGCTTGAGAGTTCAAAGTACTTCCACAATCTCAACAATCTTGATAAACTACATTGTTTTAGAACAAGAGTCAAAATAATTGTTAGACAACGACCCTTGTAACTTTCCATACCTAATTCACCTTAAGTCTATCAAGTATACCACCCTCTTTCCATCATTCTTCTCCTTTCTTTCTTTCTTTCTCTTTCTTTCTTTCTTTCTTTCTTTCTTTCTTTCTTTCTTTCTTTCTTTCTTTCTTTCTTTCTTCTTTCTTTCTTCTTTCTTTCTTTCTTTCTTTCTTCCTTCCTTCCTTCCTTCCTTCCTTCCTTTCTTTTTTCTTTCTTTCTTCCTTCCTTCCTTCCTTCCTTCCTTCCTTCCTTCCTTCCTTCCTTTCTTTCTTTCTTCTTTCTTTCGCTCTAAAGTTAAATTCTTCAATGATTACAACTATGAATCTTGGAAGAGTTTTTTTTTTTTTTTGAGTGTATTCTGATTAGGTTTCTTTTTAATTTAACTTTTATTAGTTACACTTTATTCACTTTGTATCCTCCCATAAACCCCACCCTCCTCCCCTCCTAATCACACCTTCCCCCCCCCTTCTTCACACATGCCCCTCCCCAAGTCCACTGATAGGGGAGGTTCTCCCCTCCTTCCCTCTGACCCCAGTCTATCAAATCTCATCAGGAGTGGCTGCATTGTCATCCTCTGTGGCCTGGTAAAGCTGCTCCCCCCTCAGGGGGAGGTGATCAAAGAGCAGGCCAATCAGTTCATGTCAGAGGCAGTCCCTCTTCCCATTACTATGGTAGCCACTTGGACACTGAACTGCCATGGGCTACATTTGTGCAGGGGTTCTAGGTTATCTCCATGCATGGTACTTGGTTGGAGTATGGGTCTCTGGGAAGACCCCTGTGTTCGAATTTTCCAGTTCTGTTGCTCTCCTTGTGGACTTCCTATACTCTCCAGATCTTACCATTTCCCACTTCTTTCATAAGATCCCATACACTCTGCCCAACTGTTGGCCATAAGTCTCAGCATCTGCTTTGATAGTCTGCAGGGCAGAGCCTTTCAGAGGCCCTCTGTGGCAGGTTCCTAACTTGTTTCCTGTTTTCTTCTTCTTCTGATGTCCATCTTCTTTGCCTTTGGGATGGGGATTGAGCATTTTAGTCAGAGTCCTCCCTCTTGATTAGTTTCTTTATATGTACAGATTTTAGTAGGTTTATCTTATATGTCTAAATGAGTGAGTATATACTGTGTGTGTCTTTCTGTTTCTGGGACAGCTCACTCAGGATGATCCTTTCCATTTCCCACCATTTACCTGCAAATTTCATGATTTATGGGACCTCATGAAACTGAAAGGCTTCAGTAAAGCAAAGGACACCATCATCAAAACAAAACGAATGCTTACAGATTGAGAAAGAATCTTCACCAACCCTTTATCTGACAGAGGGCTAATACCCAGTATATATAAAAAACTAAAGAAGCTGAAAAGCAACAAACCAAGTAATCCAATTAAAAAATGGGGAAGAGAGCTAAACAGAATTATCGATAGAGGAATATCAAATGGCAGAGAAACATTTAAAGAAATGCTCAATGTCATTAGCCATCAGGGAAATGCAAATCAAAACGACCCTGAGATTTCACCTTACACCCATCAGAATGACCAAGATCAAAAACTCAAGTGATAACACATGCTGGAGAGGTTGTGGAGAAAGGGGAACCCTCCTCCACTGCTGGTGGGAATGTAAACTTGTACAATCACTCTGGAAATCAATCTGCTGCTTTCTCAGACAACTAAGAATAACGCTTCCTCAAGATCCAGCCATACCACTCCTAGGCATATATCCAAAAGAGGCTCCAATACACAATAAGGACATTTGCTCAACCATGTTTCAGCAGCTTTATTTGTAATATCCAGAAGCTGGAAACAACCCAGATGCCCCTCAACTGAAGAATGGATACAGATTGTGGTACATAATCTATACAATGGAATATTACTCAGCAATGAAAAACAAGGAAGTCTTGTTAGGTTTCTGTGTTTGTGATAAAACATCATGATCAAAAGCAATTTGGGGAAGAAACAGTTTGTTTGGTTTAAAATTTAACCCAAAGTTCTAAAGTTCCCATAATCCTACTGAAAAACAACCTGAACAGGCTCATCAGAGCAACAGCTCACTTCTGGTACCACTTTTTGTCCTAGTTTAGTCCTATTCCTGTGATAAACACCACGACCAAAAGCAACTTGGAGAGGAGAGGGTTTTTCTTTTTGGCTTACACTTCCAAATCACAGTCCAGTGTTGATGGAAGTCAGGACAGGAACAGAGGCAGGAGCAGAGGCAGGAAACATGGAGGAAAGCTGCTTCCTTGCTTTCTCCCAGGCTCCTGATCAGCTACTTCTATTATGCCTCCCAGAACAGCCTGCCCAGGGGTGACAGCACCCATAGTGAGATGAGCCCTTCTGCATCAGTGAGCAACCAGGAAAATGCCCTGCAGATATGCCTACAAGCTAACTGGACTGAAGCAGTTCCTCAATTGAGATACCCTCTTTTAGATGTGTCTGGGTTTGTGCCAAGGCTATAAAAAAAACTAACCAGAACAGAGCATACAGCTCTTTGGTGTATTTTAATTATCAGCTAAATATAACTATATTAAATGACTTAATAGCTATCGCCCACATTGGTCTCTGACTATGTAGTGCTTGTGTATGGCTATTCACCACATGAAAATACATGGTGCACACACATGCACACAGTTAGAGGGCGCGCACACACTTGCAAACACAGAGTGGAAGGGTACACGCATACACAAGTGAAGAAACTTGGCTCCTTATCTTAATTGTTCCCTGATTTT